AAAAATTGTCAAATGGTTGTAAATTTTGTATAGAGTTGGGAGACAGCTATTCCAGGGAAGGGGGGTTTTTGGAATTTTCTCTATGAATGGGGGAGAAAAATCCGCGGAACCAGATCCGGGATAGGTCAAGGGTTTCCGGGGCCCCGGGGGACACCCCCCCACCAAAAATCCCAAAATGCCCCCCCCCCCCCCCCCCCCCCCAGGATTAATTGTAACTATTATTGCAGAATTGCACAATGGACATGACTGTTTTACAAAATCCTGCTGCACTAAGGCCGGGTCACAAATTACTTTGGCCATACTACAAGATAGCATCAGTAGTCAGGAGCTGTCATTGGCTATGCTGTACCTGGTAGGATTTCTGCTGGGGTGATATAAGCGAGTCCAGAATAACTGTATTGGAGAGCTGAGTTTCTTCATATAAAGCCTCTGAGGAGCATGTGGGATTTTAAAAACATTTCAGATCAATCTATTACATTGGTGTGACAGGTACTGGAATATTGTTGGCAGATTGATGAGGAAGGGGAAGGGAGGGGGTTTGAGCCCCCCTGACCTATAACAGACCTATCAGACCTAATCTGTATTTATTGAACTAACTTCAGCTTAACATGGAAACTTCTTTGGACATACCCTTCCAACCACAGAATACCGCTCTGGGTCATTTGATTGCAGAATTGTTCAACTTGAAAAATTGTCGCTATAAAACTCAAAAGATGAATGCAAAGCAGTGTCCTGTACAAAAAGATTATGTTACATCTACTGCATTATGATCATTACAACAAGCATCTACTTAGCTTATCCTGTTTTTGAAGGATATGCAATGGCAAGAAAGGATTGTTAAAGTTTGTTACTAAAATAATGGTGGTCTAATTGCTTCAACAGCTAGCATTCACCAGGTGAACCAGAAAAACGTTCTGGATCTAACCCTGTATTATTTATAAAATGGTCATCGTCTTTGCTGTAAAATAAAAAATGCAAAATTCAAAATAATTCGATCTTATATGGAATTTAAGGAGCTTCTTTTGGTACTGGGGTGGAGGAGATAAGTAAAATATACACAGTTTTAATTTACTACTATATTTTTACGTACAGGGTAATGACTTACTAGGTAAAAGTGGAATGGTTATGAAACCCGTCAGACTCTTTTGTTATGTTTTTGTTAGGTTTTTTGGACCTGACTGTGCACAACGTTCAATGGCATTCCTATAATTATTTTGAACTTACTGACCAAAAGAAACAGCGCATTAATTTATTCAGTCACAATTTGTGAACAAAAAACAAAGCATTGTGCACGGTCAGGGAGCTTCCAACATAAACTACAGCACCGTTGTTTTAAATTTCGATGTTTGATGGCTTTCATAACCAGTTTCCTCTACTAACTATCAAAACTACCAAATAACCTTAACATTAAGCCCAAAAACCCTAATTGCAAAACCTTTCTTGTGATAATGAGTTTCATTTCTCTGACAGTGAAAAATCATTTTCATATCACTGGCTTTGCACTTAGCCTCACTTTGAGACAGAGGCTTGGGGCAACTCAAAACTATGGCCTATTTATTTAGTGGCATGAGGAAGAGAGTAGTGGTGTTCTGTCTTTTACATTTGAGACTTGTTAAACTTAGATATAATCTTTAAAAAACCTCCAAAACGCATTTGTCTTCAACTTATCTTAGCTCAAAAATGATACGAAGTACAGACTTACAATAACCTTGCTTATAGACAGGTAAAATAGAGTGAAAGAAGTACATAGCATCAACTATATATTTCTTAATTTATAAATACCTATAATAGAATAAGTTTGTGGAAATCTAGCAGGAACTTCTACTGTATTAGAGAGTTTTAGAGTTACGTTTAGAGCAAACGTCAGATTATAAGTGAGAAATTTTCAAAAATAAAAACAGCAGGCCCGGGTTGTTCAAACTTTGGATGGCGCGATCTAACAAATAAATCACTACCCAGCAGATACATTTTAGCAAAACCAATGAGTTATCCACTGGAAAGAGATTTATCCAGTACATAGCGCTATCCATCTTTTGAACGACTGGGCACTGATGTCACAGCTCAGAACAATTCTTATGGATAAAACTGCCATGAATCCACTGATTTCCGTGTAGATATATAGAACAGTAAACAACAAGTAAGGAGAAAACTTGGTCACATTGAACAATTATTTACATTTGTTGTCTGTCGTAAACGAGAGTCTAAACCTCTATTTTGTCCGAAGAGTGTGTAAGAATAATATTATTGTCATCAAAAGTGTGAGTTATCACTGTTTTCCAGGATTTCAAACACTTTGTAGCGATAACTGGCAATGGTTTGTCTGTGTAGGACGTTTGAAATATGAAATGAATTATATATGAACTAAGGAGATGAAATGAAGTGAAGAAATAACCATCTAGTTTAAATGCAGGCAATTAAATTAAATTAAACTGAAAAGAAGCCAAGCTTCAGCAATGATATTTTTCAGGCTTTTAATAATTAATTGTTGTATGAATTGATGCATAACTACCTTAACCATTTCTTCAATTTATAGTTAATGGGAGATTTTTATTAGGATTTGTCTTGGCTGTAGCCATTTATAAACTTGAAACACTTTGGAAAATAAGGAAAGAACTAGTTTCGGCCCATTTACATAACATGTTGTTCCATAAAAATCTGTACCGGCTCCTTCACAGAAGAATATTCATTAGTTAGGACCTTCCTGCCTTAATGAAAACTGCCACTTTAAAAAGAAGGGAACTGGAGCAGAAATGTTTCCTGCAGTTGTTTCTGGGATTGCTACTGGGGATGCGCCAGTCAGCTATTGGCCAATTTTTTCCCTGTTTCTGGTAACAGCCCCAGAAGTCTTTGCTGGAGTTACCTCGGCCCAATTTCCGTCTAGTTTGTAAAGTGGCGAATTGTATTGATTTATGCAATATCTGCGGTAGAGAATTTGCCTCCCGCCCTCTGTTCCTCCCACTTGGAATTTCCAAAGATCTAAAGAGAAGTCGGTTGAGACATGTTCTTGAGCCGAACGATTTATCCACTTACGAGCAATAAAGTATAATCAGAGAGGCTCTTTCTTTAAATACTTTCAGTTAATCGCTTGTGAAAATACGGTTATCCTTTTCAGTCATTTTATGTTGGCCCATTGTGGTTTCCCAGGTACATGTAAAATAAAAGTGAGTTTGATAGTAAAATATCTATCCCTGATTTTGAACGAATATGAGAAAAATGGAATGACAAATAAATAACATTCAGTTCTGGCAACGATAGCAGACAGTAATATTTAATCATTGTGAACTGAATCATTTTTGGTACTTTTAATATGGATTTTCCCCTCTTGTAGATAAAAATGAAAGCAACATAAACCAAAGTTACACAATCCATGTGAGTTGTTAAAATCGAACTCGTCAACTTCTAATGATGACAATGATGACAAATTTTAAATTAAAAAGCACTTGATTACAAGAAACCGCAAACTGCCGCTTATAAGGTCACCCACATAAAGCCCCCCAGTTATTAGCCTATCTTCCTGGAAACAAAATATATATTTGATGATGAACCACTCGGATATAAGAGCCCCCACTTAAAAGCCCCCCAGTTATTAGCCCAACTTCCTGTAAACATTCCATTTATAAGCCTTCCTTATATAAGCGGCAGTTTACGGTACTCATAATACTTCTACATACAGCTTTAGCGATACAATTTTAGCAATGTTTCCAACAGTCTCAATATCTTGAGCTTATCAATCATTCTTTTTATCCGATACCACTTCGGCCTCGGTTGTCATGGCACCATTTTCGTTGGCTTTACTTTCCTTGGATTCTTGTTCTGCTGTTACAGCTGTGTTGTCGACCATTTCACCGGTTGTACCAAATTCATTAACGCGTTTAGGATCAATTGGGTAAATCCACCGCTGATACAAAGCGATAAAGAAAACAATGTCTGCAACAAATAAAAACACTGAGCTTAGCCTTGTGAGCCGTTTGAGGGCCCTTTTAAATTTGGAGAAAACCTGTCCAGAGTAGAAGGGTCACCCTCCAAGCGGAGTCAACATTAGCGAACGAACATTTACATGAGAAAAAAAAAAGTTGTCTCCTTTGAGCCAACAGCGCTCGCGCATGCTCCGATTAGGGAGCTTAAGCAACAACAACGGCGACGGCTACGAAAACGTCACTTAAAACGTGAATTTGCGATGCCTCAAACTTTATCGCACTTATTCCAACTCGTTTAATTCGTCAAATGTTGGCAAATTTTTTGGAGATGAATTCTAAAGGACTGCTTCAAAGTTCAGGAAAAGAAAAAGTTGTGGTCGCGTGTTCTCGTCCTCGACTAGCCAGTGGACAGGCTCTCTAGCTGTTTAGGGAAAAAGATAGTTCCCCACTCGGCCAAAGGCCTGTTCACAGGCTAGTCCTCGACAGAACGTGAAATTAGGCACTTTCACATTGTAGTCATGCAGCGATGGCTAAGAAATGGACAAAAAGGTGTGATACATGTGCAAAGTTGTTGTTCTTCCAATCTCAGTAAACCTGTTTCTTTTTTGCCGGTGTCATTGCCGTCGTCATTGTCGTTGCATAAACTCCCTTTTGTCTCGCCCAGACCGAGTTGACCCGGCTAGGCGAGCCAAAGTGTTTATATGGTGAAAATTTAACCCGGGAGGGTAGGAGGGGGACCCTACCAACAAAAAGGGTGACCCGGCTAGGCGGGTCACCTTCTAGCCTAACCAACTTTTTTGTTTCTCATGTAAATGGTTCGCCAAGTTTTGTAAGTAAATGTATGAAAAGTTGCCTCGCTTAAGGAAGTTCGGGTAGGCGGTGACCCTTTTACCCGGTGAAATTTTCTCTATATAAACGGGGCCTAAGGAAGAGACGACTGACACATGCTATTCCCTTCTTCACGTTGTCATCTCAGTACCCCCTCATCTCCCTAACCAATCTGTGGCCGCGCAAGAATGATCATAGACGACTGGGGAGAGTCAGAAAGATGTTCGTATTGAAGAAGTGTCTGTAAGCCGCAGA